ARRAAAAAAATTAACCATGATGGATGACTCATTAGTCCAAGGGGGCTAGGATTAATTAGGAKGAAATTGGTGCAAACCCTATGATAGCCACCTAAATTGATGTAGTCATTTGATGGATTTTAAGGTTAAATAATACTTTTGATCCRTGTACTTTAGTTGRAGTAACGATTTAGTTCCTAAACTTTCAAAAGTAACRATTTAGTTCCTATACTTTCAAATTGGTAACAATAATATAGTCCTGAAATTTAAAAYGTAACAATTTAGTCATTGAAGTTTAAAGTTTGTAATGATTTAACCTCCATTGTGGATTCTTTTRGTTAATTTTTTATATTATGTAGATCGATAAATTGATGAAGGATGGAATTAGTTTATAAATTMAAAAAATTAAATCGTTATATGACAAAAATTGATGCTTGATTTTGATTAGAATTTTTATGGTAGGGACTAAATTGTTACAAATTTTAAACTATAAGGACTAAATTGTTACATATTAAAGTTTAGAGACTAAATTGTTATCAATATSAAAGTACAAGGACTAAATCGTTATAATTCAAAATTCAGGGACTAAATTGTTACTTTAATGAAAACACAATACAAGGTCCAAATGTGCTTTTTAACCTAATTTTATTATTATATTATATTTTAATSTRRCCATTACTTTTTCAAACTAAATATCCACCTTTCATTCTCATCCAATAGTCAAAATTTATTTTAATTTCAAATCAATTTTTACACATTTTTCTCTACTATTTAAACCTMTCCCATATCTCAAATTAAACACAATAATTTTTATTATTTATCAATTCTCCATAATTCATYGTTGCTCTTTCCGAGCTCTCAATTTTTACTTCAATCTTTATTATTGTGAGAGATTTTCTTGTCGTAAGGATTGAGTAATTTGTGAGCTAAAATTTGAAAATCTACTYTGTTAGACAGTTTTTAATATGTGAAAATTTCTTASTGCCACACTTATTTGTGTTTCATTCTCGAGCCCGGTAAAAAGAACGGAGTGTGGGGGATGACCGAACTACTATAAATCTCTTGTATAACATTTTATCTAACCTTTTACTTTTTATTCATTGCAATTTATCTTTCAAATATATTTTTTTTATTGCAAATAATTGTTGTGCTCATATTGAATATTTATTTTATGATATTTTGGTTAGTATAAATTATGCATAAATTGTTTTTGCTCAAACATTTTACTTGGTTATTTGATTTGTTCTAAAATTCAAAAAAAAAATGTAGTAAATTGTTCTTTAACGACACTATTCACCACCCATCTAGTGTTGCCATATCGATCCAACAATTATTACGTACTAATATCTAGGGACAAAATTGTTATCAAGTACAACGTCTAAATCGTTACTTTAGCAAACGAACAAGGACCAAATGCATTTTTTATTAACCAWGGTTTTGTTTTAGTATAACAATATTTAGGGTAGGAATTCGAGCGCACTATCTTTTAGTCGGGATATATATCTTAACCAATTGAATTATATACTTAAATTAACTATTGGATTAATGGTTGAAAATGCTTGTTCCCACCWTCCGCTGAGTAGTTTCTTATCACCTGTCATGCACATTTATGTTTATTTAATATGATACAATTTATAATTTTATTATAACTAAAATTAATCCATCTTATTTTCACTAACATATAACATACCTATTATTTTGTTATTAAAAAATCATACTTATATTTTAGGGTTAAAAAATATTTTTTTATTTTTTAACTTTTCATAAAGAGGAAACTATTATATTGGAAATTATAAATTTTAGAGAGTGGTTTATAAGAAATTTTAATGAAGTTATAATAGTTTTTYTAATAGCTCAWTGTAAGATAAATATTTTTATSGAGTAGTTACCTCAAATATTATATAATGTTGATAAAAGAATAATGAAGTTAATGTATTTGAATTTATTGTTACTAACAAAAATAAGAGAAAATATTTTAACAAATATGGTAAAAAATTTTTTTGAAAATACGACATTTTAGTTAACAAATTAAAATTAAAACATGCACAAACATTATAAATTAAAAGAAAAATAATACAAATTATAAAGAAAATATAAACAAATAAAAAACATACAAAAATATAGAAATTATAAAATAACAAAAATAAAAACAATAATAAGAAAAAAATAGAAATTAAATCAATACATACATTATTCTTGAACATATATTTATCTTRGACAAAGATAATTATTGAACTTTATTCAAAGTAAAATGGCAACTACACAAACTTACGAATCATAATATAGCTTTAATATATAAATTTTGTACGGACTTGAACTTAGCATGTATGTCTTTTGACTCTTGAGTTYCTTTCAAAATTAGAGAGACTTTAACGCAAGAAAGGAGATAGAACTAAAAATAAAGAAAAAGTGTACTTCAAAGTGTTGGTGAAAAATGATGGAAGAAAATGCCTATTTTTATATGAAAAAGTTACMAATYTTTTTRAATTCTAAAACTTTTGAAATTCTAGTTATTAGTAAAAATAGTTAAGCTATTCATAAATTAAATAAMAACCTTTTATATATTCCCACTTTTTAGATTCCACATTATTSTAAGAAGGAACAAATGTGTTTTTAACCAATGTTTTGTTTTATTATAACAATATKTAGGGATAGAAATTCGAATCACACGATCTTTTAGTCTGGATATATATCTTAAATAATTGAGTCATACTCAAATTGACTATTGTATTAATGGTTRAAAATCCTTGTTCCCACTTCCACTAATTTCCACTTTTGAGTTGCCACGACACCATGTTGGATTTAAAKATGTGAAAGAAAGTGTAATTTAATGAAACTTATTCACGTATACGTTGTGAATATGTTCGTGGTYTTGTTTCTTTTAATATTAAATTTGGAGTTATTTATTTAAATGAAAAAGTTGTTTCTTTATTTTGTTAATTTGTAACTTTATATATGTTAAAGTTACATAGGTAACATAYGCAAAAAAKGTTACATATGTGTTTAATTTTGAGTGAGTGGTTACTTGTTTGTACAACTATATATRGTTGTGGATTTCTTCATTTTGAGATATCAAAGCATACCTCAATTGGGTATTCTCCTCCTCTCACAAGAATTTTCTCATCCTTTTGAGTTCTTGTTCTTGTTTGTGTTGAGAGCAAGTGTCTAAGAATTCTGCCAGATCCGAGTAKTTCGAGGTTGCTGTTCTACTGGAGTTAGTCSTTGTATCCTACTGAGACGATCGCTGTAGTCTGCTAGCAACTTGTACAGAGCGAATAATTGTCTTCACATAAGCACTATTGAAGTGTGCCTYGACTAATTTAATCAAGTTTGTCGTGTTCATCAAGTTGTTCAATTTTGTATCGTTTGTAGCCTGATATGTTGTAAATTGTTGCTAGTGTTATTCAATTTACATATATAGCATATATTTACCCAACACACCATAGGAAGTATATATGTATATATAATTTCCACTTTTGAGTTGCCACGACACCAATGGAAGTATATATATATATATAAATATAAATATATATATATATGTATACACACACATACATACATACTGATTGCCAGGACAAGTTGGACGAGGTATGTTTGATCAGGAAAATGACCAACAACGCGAACCTCGGTTCGGAAGTTAGGATGACCTGGCGGATGAACTGGAACATACTGGACAGGTAACCTACAAAACAAAGAACACTTCGATGCCAAAGTAACAATCYGAGGTACTTTTCATAGAGAAAAGGGATTTTCGCGTACYTGAAAACGGARCAAATGGGTTCTATTTATAGGCAACTTCCTCGACAATATTCCTGACAATGCCTCAGTGGCTCTTTAAGGTGGCCATGAATCATGACCCATTGTCGTGGAGTCTGTCGGAGACTRAGGCTGAGCTGAGACAAAGCTAATCAGTTCAGTAAGAAAATAGGAACAGACTCCCATGGAGCTTGGTCGGCTCGGCCACGCAAGACGTCGACTCAGCTATAGGAAATAAAACCGAGGTGATGAAACTTGAGGCTTATTGATGAAGGCCACGTGTAACGCTCATCACCCAACCA